GTTGTTTCCAGGTTCTGGCTATTACAAATAAAGGAACCGCATAGAAGACCCAGAAATAAACCCACACACCTATGAATACTCGACTTTTGACAAAGAAGCCAAAACCATTCAATGGAAAAAAGACAGCATCTTCAACAAATGGTGCTGGACCAACTGGATGTCTACATGCAGAAAAATGAAAATAGATCCATATTTATCACCCTGCACAAAACTAAAGTCCAAGTGAATCAAAGACCTCAACATAAAACCAGATAGTCTAAGTCTGTTAGAAGAAAAAGTGGGGAATAGCCTAGAACTCATAGGCACAGGAGACAACTTCCTGAACAGAACACCAACAGCACAGACTCTAAGAGCAACAATCAATAAATGGGACCTCATGAAACTGAACAGCTTCTGTAAAGCAAAGGACACCGTCATCAAAACAAAACGACTGCCTACAGATTGGGAAAGAATCTTCACTAACCCTTTATCTGACAGAGGACTAATATCCAGTATATACAAAAAAACTAAAAAAGCTGAAAAGCAGCAAAGCAAGTAATCCAATTAAAAAATGGGGAACAGAGCTAAACAGAGAATTCTCGACAGAGGAATATCGAATGGCAGAGAAACACTTAAAGAAATGCTCAACCTCATTAGCCATCAGGGAAATGCAAATCAAAACGACCCTGAGATTTCACCTTACACCCATCAGAATGGCCAAGATGAAAAACTCAAGTGACAACACATGCTGGAGAGGTTGTGGAGAAAGGAGAACCCTCCTCCACTGCTGGTGGGAATGTAAACTGTTACAACCACTCTGGAAATCTATCTGGCGCTTTCTAAGACAATTAGGAGTAGTGCTTCCTCAAGACCCAGCTATACCACTGCTAGGTATATACCCAAACTTTGCTCAAGTACACAAAAGGGATACTTGCTCAACCATGTTTATAAACCTGACCTCATATACACACACTCTGACTCAGCAATTCCTTCAGATCAATGTCCTTTATAAATAGTGAGATCTGGAGAGGACAGGAACCCCACAAGGAGAGCAACAGAACCAGAAAATTTGAACACAGGTCCCAGAGACTCATACTCCAACCAAGTACCAGGTATGGCGATAACCTAGAACCCCTGCACAGATGTAGCCCATGACAGCTTAGTGTCCAAGTGGGTTACATAGCAATGGGAAGAGGGGCTGCCTCTGACATAATCTGATTGGCCTGTTCTTTGTCACCTCCTCATGAGGGGAGAGCAGCCTTACCAGGCCACAGAAGATGACAATGCAGCCATTCCTGATGTGATCTGATAGACTAAGATCAGAAGGAAGGAGAGGAGGACCTCCTCTATCAGTGGACTTGGGGAGGGGCATGTGTGAAGAAGGGGGAGGGAGGATATGACCGGGAGGGGAGGAGGGAGGGCCTTCTAGGGGGATACAAAGTGAATAAACTGCTAAAAAAAAAAGAACATATTCACCAAGGGCCAAGTAGAAGAATGTTTACAGAAAGGTTATTCAGAAGAAGGTGGGAGTACAACTGGGTTATACTAGAGATTATCTAGAATGCATAAGGCCCTGGGTTCAATCTCTAGTCAGTAACACACACACACACACACACACACACACACAGAGGTCTAATAGAAAAGTGAAAAATAGCCACAACCAACTGTCTGTTAGAAGAATAGATTAATAAAGGGAAGTATTCATGACTCAGAAAAGAAAATAAATAATATACAGTTCTGCATAACAATATGGTGAGATTTAAAGCATGTTTAGGGAAAAAGGACAGATTAAAGTGAACATATGAAGCAGAGTACTTACTAAAGGAAGTTAAAAATATCACAGCTCATCTCTGTCAGAGATGGTGGCCCACTGTGAGGAGGTGAGGAAAAGGGGCTTTCTGAGGAACCTGTGATTTTGCTTTTTGGTATGGAGAAAAATTTTATAGCATATTTATATCTTATGTACAGATGTATATATGTATATATATGTATATACATACATATATGTATATATATGTATATATGTATGCATGTATATGGTCTGTGTGCTTCCAGGTATGTAGTTACACTTTGAAAACAAAGCTTTCTAAAAGCAAACTTTTAGAACAAGAGAACCAGCTAGCATGAAAAATTAACTGGAAAATGTTAGGCATGCTGATTCATTCATAACCAGAGACGCTGGGAGACCTGTGGGTTCCGGGGCCAGTTTTGGGCTCCATAGTGAGATCCTGTCTCAGAACAGAAAAGAATTAACTTGGAGATTATAAAAGCTGAAGAAGGAAGAAGCAACCTTTGATTAAATCTTGTTTGATTTAATGTGTAATGTAACAGCTCAAACTGTTCTTGTTTGCCCCTACAGATTCTCTGCTTTTCTCTACCTTGGTTTTTTTTTTTTTTTTTTCACTCTGAAGAGGCTCTGAAAAGCCTTGCAAATGAGTCACTAGGCAAGCTTGTAATTGGATTGCATTAAAAGTAAGGGCACCAGCAAGAGACTGGAAAAAGGAAGATGGCAGGCATGATTCCCTTTACCCAAGCTCCTCTGCGCTGAGGCTGTAATTTGGGAAGTGGCGCAAGTCTCTGGTTAAGCTCTCCAGTAGCTGCAGATCCTCTGCTCTCATTTTAGGACTGTGGCATACAGTTTTTCCACTGTTGCTGCTGCTTGTGTGCTTCAATGTTCTTCACCGATTCCTTTAACTCTGTCCCACTGTGTGCTGACATCACCTTCAGTTCTCTTCAAACAGCCTTTTCGATGCACCATAGCCTTGACAGACACCTACACTCAACTGAATGGAAACACAGGTCTCATGAATATGAACACAGATTACGGGATCATGTAAGGAAATTCAGAAGTGCACACGGTAAACGTGGGAAACACGTCGTGGGCGAAGTTACAGAATTCTGTGCCTAAGCCTGCTTTTCCGTCCCTAAAATATATTTCCAAGAAACACCCCCAAGGAACCCCATCCCTGCTCCAAATAATACCAATCAAGAAAACACTATAGCTCCGTATTTCACTTCATCTTGCTAGAAAGAGAGACAGGGTCTACATCCAAACCAGGGGTATGGTGCATGATAGCATCATCATTTCTTAGAAACATGGCTGGACCCTTGCCAAACAAATGCAAAAGCCAAACCAGAAGCATCCTAGATTGTCTCATTGTGCATATGCAGTTAATATAATTCACCCCGTTGGTGAGAAGGTTAAGCAGCTTAAATCCTTTATTTGTTGAAAACCTTAGTTAGAGTAGATCAGTTATCAAATTCTTAATCTCAAAGCTGCTTTCCATCTAGAAGACCCCAGGAAAGCAAGTGATTTTTCTTTAACAAGGGAGAAAAGTCAATCTCCTCCTCTCTCTCCATTAAAGTGAACCAGGATGTCTGGTACATTGATATTGTGTTTTACTGCCCAATAGAATCCTGATCCTGTATCTTCTTATCTGAGACCATGGCTGGTATTCTGATCCTGTGGTTTATTGTCATCTACTGAGGGTACCCTTGGTTGATAACTGACCCTGTCACCTAATTACTATCAGAAAGTATGGCCTCATAACACCCACTGTAAAGCCTTAATAACAACTTTGGCAGTCCTCCAATGCTTAATTGGCTTATAGTTAACAATTGTATATCATAGGCCAATTCATTTAGTTATCAAGGGTATAGATCCATAACCAGTTTACCTTTGAGAGATTCCAGTTGCCTGCTGATATTTTCTTTCTTTTTTTTTTTTTTTTTTATTATTGGCTCTTTGTGACTGTCACATCATGCACTCCAATCTCATGCACCTCCCACTCCCTTCCTACCTGCCCTCTACTCTTGCAATCTCCCCATCCCCAATAGAGGCTGTAGTGTCTCACAGTTTGTCCCACAGTTTACCCTTCTTTCGTCCACACTTCTTTGCTTCCAAAGGTTTATTGCAATGACTCATTGATCTGGTATGAGGCCTCTGGCTTCTGCTACTCTGTCAATACCGGATGGAACTTCACTGAGACTCCTCTTGCATATCTTGTTGTTGCCCAGTGTCATGGAGATCCTGTATCTTTGAATCTGTAGGGCTGGCCTCTTCATGCACGTTAGTAGTTCATCAGTGGAGTAGATGTTGGGGTGGGCCAATTCAAAGTGCTGGATCTGGGCACTTTGAGAGGTACCTGAGCTGCTCAGCCCACCAAATCTGTTCTCATACCCTTGGGACTGATTCACAAACAACATGTCCTAATCCCCACCACCCCTGGAAACTAGAGCCAGCTCTACCTTGCTGCCCAGGATTGGTACAGGCCTGAAAGGAACAGGCTAGCTTTACAGGTTTCTTTATAAATTCTATACCCCATGTTAAACTAATATCTCCCAGTACTTTTCCAGAAAGCAGGAGGTGAATTGAGACAAGCCCCACCCTGTTGCAAAGGAATGCGAAAGGTCCCCCACTGTGGAGGAGTGTCCAGATCTGCAGGAAGAGATAATGTTACCTGGTAACCAGTCCAGCCTTCACAGCTCCCCCACCCACATTGGGGCGGGACCAGATGGACTTGGCACCTAACATGAACCAATCATTTTAAAAGTCAACTACTCTACCCAATCCAGTGTCGCCAAGCTTGCAACCTCTGAGATTCCTGCTCTCCTTCCTTCAAAATCCTCAGCCTTCTGTCTCTCCTTGCTGTTCCTCGCTGGTTTTGTTGGGGGCAGCCCCATTGCACGATGGCTCAAATAAGTCTCTTGCTCTTGCATCGATGATTCGGTCTCCTGAGTTCTCTTCATTTCCGCCTGGAAATGGGGGTTCCCCTGGGCCTAACAGGCCCACTCTCTGGAGAGAGGAACAGGGCCAGTTCTCCCACTTCCATAGATGGCAAGAAATGAGGGAGGGAAGGAGAGCGTCTCTCCCTAATCCTCATGCCACCTCACAGCAGACAAGAGGCAGGGTCAGCTCTCCATGGCTCACCTGCAACTTCAGAAATGTGCTGTGCCTGCCCACACTCCTCAAGGCTGCAGCTGGTTAGGGGTGGGGTCAGCTCTCCTGCTCTCATGCCCTCAGGGCCAGCTATTTCACAATGCCCAGGCAAGAGGTGCAGCCAATTCTGCACAGCCCTCAGACATAGCCTTTCTACTCCCTGCCATCTGAAGTACAGTGACAGAGCTGTCATACCTGCCATGCCCCTAGGGGCAGCTGCTAATACTTTCATGCTTCCATAAATAATTAGAAACACCTGTTTTCTAATTATTGGATGAAATGAAGATTATACAATACGGATTTACTGCCAAATTCTATTCTTTGGCATATTATTTTGGGAGCATTAGTGCCCTTTTACGAATTTGTTGGGTAGACATGACTTCTTTAGCATCATGTGACTTACTAGATATTCTACCTAGTGTTTTTAATGTGTACAAGTGTTTGGCCTGTGTGTATGTCCTACCATGTGCTTACTAGGTATCCACAAAAGCCAGAAGAGAACATCAAATCCCCCAGAACTGCAGTTACAGATCCTATAAGCCACCAGGTTGGAGCTGAGTTTCAAAACTGGGTCCTTGGAAGAACAGCACTTCTATCCAGATTTAGATAATAATTAGAGGCAAACAACAGCCTTGACCTTAACTAACTTTATCATTTATGGAATGTTTTTCCTGAGAGAATATTTTGAAGTTATATATTATTCAATTTTTTTGTTGTTTGAAGGGATTGCTCAAAGGATAGAACCGAATATGACTCACAAAAACTAAAGTGAATGAAATGATTCCTAGTTATATTCCGCTGTACCCTTACATCAGCCTAGCCCAATCACCCTCAGAGAGGCTTCCTCCAGTAACTGAAAGAAACAGATGCAGAGACCAACAGCCAAAACATTAGGTGGAGCTCCAGGAACCTCACAGAAAAGGGGAGGAAGGATTGTAGGAGTCAGAGGGATCAAAAATACCAACTGAGCAGGGCTCATCCTAGTTCACAAAGACTCAACCGACAATCACCGACCCTATATGGGTCTGAACTAGGTCCTCTGGTTAAACATTATGGTTGTATAGCTTAGTATTCTTGTGGGGCTCCTAACAGTGGGAGCATGGCATGTCTCTGCCTCTTTTGCCTGCTTTTAAGATCCTTCTGTCTCCGTCTAATTGTAACTTGTTATTCTGTATTCAGTTGATGTCCCTGGGAGGCTCGATCTCTTTTGAAGGGAAATGGAGGAGGAAAATATCTGGGGTAGAAGGGATGCGGGGTGCGGCTTGGAGGAGTGTAGGGAGAGGAAACGGTGTTTGGGATGTAATGTATGAAAGAAGAATAAATGGAGAGAAGAGAGAAAGAGAGAGAGAGGACACCAAGAATAATTGTTTGTTATTCTAAATCAGATAACCTGTTTCTTATTTCCCTTAATACCCAAATGTCTTACCGTAGGTTCCTCAGGCTGCTTTGATTTTTTTTAAATGTGTGTGGGAGTACTGATAGCCACAGAGTACAGATAGCCACAGATACCAGAGGCATCAGCTCCCCATAGAGCTGTGGTCATAGGTAGTTGTAAGCTGGGAATCAAACAGGGATCTTTTGACAGATGATCATCTCTCTAGCACAACTCTGCCCACTTCTACCGTCTCAGATCCTCTTCATTTGTTTCCGTCTGCTCCAGCCATCACAGATTCACTGTTATTTTTCCAGCTCACACACACTGTTTTCTTCCCCATGATCTAGCAAAATTGCCACTCTCCACTCCTGGACCTCCTTCATCCTCATCTTGCCAGCACGCCATGTCTCGGGTCAAGTCTTATCCATCTGCCCAGTCACTCCCCACAATATAATCTGTTTGTATCATCTCCATAACACTCTCCAGCCTTTGAGATGAGCTTATTGATTTATTACCTGACTTCTAAACACACTGTCATCTCTGACACATTATCTGTCTTGTTCATCAGTTTATCTCCAAGGCACACGGCAAATTCTTAATAAACATTTTAAATGTTTCTTACTTGAATGCATAAGTACATGAAGCTAAGTTATCAGGCTTGTAAGACAAGCAAACAAGCCTCTACAGTATAAAAAATATATGAATGTTTTTGAAAATTTACTGCATTGTGTCCTATCATACCTAAAAGGTTTATTCATCCCTAAAAGATTTATTGGAAATGCTCGTCTTTGGAACTCCTGTGGTTCATCTGGAATCATAGGTCTCTTGTACTAGATTATAATTCTGTTTCTGTTTCTGGCAACCAAGAAACTTAGGATCAGGTTTTAAGACCTTGTTTCAAAAGACAGAAATTTATGGTAGATATTTGGAGTATTGTAGCCACCTCCTGCGTCACTTGTAACATTTATTTACATATCTGATGGTTTTAATGTTCTTATTTTATACTCTTTATGAATGCTACCTCTAAGCCTATCTGAAACAAGTTAGTAAAAACAACAACTAAATAAACCGTATGCCTATTTAATAGCAGTGAGCAGCATAGCTCAGGAGCCCATCTTTGCAATTCTTTCAAGTGCTCTTCACCTTAAAACCAAGGTGGCTTTTAAATTCCTCTGGCTATAAATCAAAATTTAATGAAATACTCGTGGTATATCATAATTACTTCATAACATTAATCCAACAAGATTTTAAGCACTTTGTGTGTCTCTAGTTATGTTTCCCCATGGTATTAAGGCTAGAATTTGTCAAATAATACATTTGCCCAAATAATCTGCCTAATAGACCTTTGCTAAATTCATGGGATGAACACATGACTTTACACGGCTTAAGACTCAATGAAAAGGTAAAACTGTCTTAAAGACTGTATACAGAAACACGATCGACCCAATCCTCTCCCTAGTCTGGAGCTATTCCTGTCCACAGTCAGGAGTTGAAGAACGCTTTCTACAATGGGGACCCCCTCCCCCACAAGAACAAAGAAAGCATCCGTTATACTCAACTACATAAATATCAAGAGACAGTCTGTGCCATGCTTCCAGGATGCACAACTCTGCCGGGCACAGATTCATCAACTGTGCAGTGCTTTTGTATTGATTCTAAAGTGTTTTTTGGATAAACTTTGAAAGCCATTTGCTGAGTGTAGGATTTTGTAGGCTTGGGGTTGTCAATACTCGTGTTTTGCTGCAATTAATAACTATATGCTCATGCACCTGTGGAGAAGATGAAGCGTCTTTCTAATTTCATGTTCAGCAATAAACATGAGCAACTGTCTGCATGATTCCTCTTTTGATTCCAGCTGCCAACAGCTTGGAAGGCTTTGAGTCCAGCTAACTCTACATTCACTCATTTGCTGGTGTCCCCATTTATTTTTCTGCCTAAATGGGTAGAGAAGTCATTTTGTTTAGCTCATTCAGATCTGTTGAGAAAGACACCAGCAAATCAACACCTGTCACTTTTCAGTAAACCCTAAGAGGAAATGGGCTTTGTAGCAGCTTTGCCTTGGCAGTACACAGCATGCTCAAGGGTTGCAGTAAATGCCTGGATTCTATAAAGCAGCCACCCCCTTACTCTAAAGCAGGGAGGGGCGTGTGACTGTGCGCCTATTATGGATATAATTAATCTAAATCACTCAGAAGACAATAAAATTTAATTATGGGTTCTTAGTTTCTAAGAACTCGCCAATTATTGTTAATAGGCTTTGCCTTGATCAGAGCTAGTGAGTTAAATCTGTTGAAGCTATTTTTCCAACAGTTAATGTCTTAAAAATCATTCTATCTTTAGTTGAGTGAGTGCAATACAGCATCACTGTGTGGTAGCAGACAAAATGCTATACTGACCTCAGTTTAGTGACATGTTTTGAAAACTGGTTTGAGGACTCCATTTCTGGATTGTTTTTATATAATTGGCATTTGAGACAATTCAGCTAGCCCTGCTGTCTGTCTTAAGTACTATATCCTCTCATCTTGGGGCAGTTGGATATCACCTTCTATGTTGATTTTTTTTTTTTTTAGTTAATCTGTGTCTGAGAACACACGCATGATAAAATATTTCAAAGTCCATTCTGATTTTATCAGCTCCTATAGTGATTCAATTCTGTTTTAATCCCTTTAGTGTGTATTAACAAGGGGGTTATGGATCTAATAATCATTGTATTAACAAAGGGCCAAGCTGTCCCCGGAAATCAACATTTTTGAAGGGCATTTAAGACTGTTCATCAAGTTTTTGTTGCATGCACGTACATTTCTGTGAGAGTCTTCATGAATCATCTCATTTAACTGAACTACACTTCTAAAAATGAGCTGTTGCTCCTCGATGACTGAGGAAACTCAAGGACTTTATATACCTTGATGAATGTTGTGTAGCAAGTCGCTCTGACAACAGACTCAAACCTGAAGGATCCAGGATCGTAACCATTAGCTCTCTCACTTAAGTAAAAAAAAAAAAAAAAAAAAAAGATAGGTGCTTGCAACAGAGGTTCTCGTTTCTTTAAAACATGCGTGTGCTTACTATTGCAAGGCAATGTGACCCATGCAAAGCTCTTAGGTGTGTCCACACTACGTGTATTTGCTTGCCTCTTAGGAAAAGAATGTTTAAAATGTTTGTAAGAGCCATGGTTATAGTCGGTTTCACTGATCTAGGGGGATGGTCAGAAATTCCTTCCTGTCTCTCTTTGAGGCTATATCCAGATAAGTGTTTTCTGAAATAATTCTGTTTTGCTTTTGAGTCAGTCAAAATTACTATCATCATAGCCCTTGACCCCTATTGACTTGAAAGTATCACCTAGCCTTTGACAACAAAATATTACTTTGTGCAGTAGGGAAGCTGGGTGTGTCTTCCAACAAGGAGAAGGCCGCCGACCCACTGATGGTGAGATTTTCGTTGTGAATGATGATTATTGCTGGGGTGGTAACTGGACAAGGACTTCCACAAGGAAACAGTGTAAATTGTCTGTGGGTTATCTAACTGGAGTCAGGCAGTGCGATTAATTAAAGATGTCTGTAAATTCTTAGCTGAGCCTCTCTGTGAAAGGAGGAATTTAATTCCTTTCCCCTTAAATCTGACTCGCTTAGTAGTTGAAATGCTTAATCCTAACCAGTGCCTTACAAAGGAGTGATATCCTGAGAGTTCTAAAACAGATCCTAAGAAGATACTGCCTTCCCTGGGGCGCCCTGACATGCTCACTCTGATAAAAGCCAGTTGCCATGTGTTGTCCCAGAGCCTGCTTTATTGCAGACTTCAATTGAAGGCACTCTGGCCAAAACCCTGTTGAAGCTATCTTGGGT